GGGGGGGGGTTCACGTTATCGTTCTCAATAGATGCTACAGCCAAAATTTTTGTACAGGAGACAGACACAGATAACATCACCACTTTCCGAGGTACGACACTAGAAGTAAATAGAATAGATTGTGAACAGAGTTTCACAATGGCATTACATCCTCGAGGATTACCGTCATATAACTTGATAAACAGCCAAGGATAATAAGAGAAAATGTACATGGTGAGGAGAAATAATAACCAACCAGAGAAGGAACCAAGTTGACACAAGCCACCATGATCACCTCCTCTGCTCCCCTTGCTTTTGCCGTAATCCGATTGGAGAAAGCATTCACCGACTGCTGGTCCTATGCTGTAAGATAACAAATACTAATGATATATATATAAACTTGTATATGAACACCCATACTAATATTGGCTTCAACCAGATAGGCCAGCCTTGCTCCTCAAGTGCTCTTTAAATTCCATAATATCACCCTCCCACCGTGTCACAGCTTGATTTTCACACACCCATATCTCATGGGCCACTTGATTAATGAGCCTAAAATCGTGACTAACAAGAACCAGGCCGCCATCCCACTCACTCAATGCTTCAGCCAGCGAGTCGATAGTCTCAATATCCAGATGGTTAGTTGGCTCATCCAATAACAACATGTGGGGTTGCTTCCATGCTAACCATGCAAAAATCACCCGGCTCCTTTGCCCATCAGACAGATTCTTCATCGGCATCACCTGCGCTTTACCAGAAAGCCCAAACTTTCCAATTGCTGCCCTCATCTTTTCTTCCTCATTTCCGGGGTACTCTTTCATCATGAACTGTAGAGCAGACAACTCCAGATCAAGTTTGTCAGCCAAGTGCTGATGAAACTGAGCAATCCTCAGGTGGTTGTGCCGTCGCACCATGCCATCAAGGGGAACCAAATCCCCTGTCATCAGCTTAAGCAGTGTACTCTTTCCTGCTCCATTGGGTCCCACAAGGGCTACTCTCGAGTCACAATCAACCCCAAAATCAAGGTTCTTGTAGATGAGATTATCAGGTGTGTAGCCAAATGCAACTTCCACAAACTGTAATACAGGTGGGGGAAGCTTTCCAACATTGGTGAAGCGAAAAACTAAAATCTTATCCCTCGCTACCTTCTCCGTAAGCCCACCACGCTCCATTTTGGCCAAAGTTTTCTCTTTGCTTTGTGCCTGACGGGCTAGTTTTGCTGATCCATGACCAAATCGGGCAATATATTCCTTCATTGAAGCAATCTGCTCCTGCTCCCATTTGTACTGCTTCATCTGATTCTCTTCAAGTTCAGCACGGGTTTGAACATATTGGTCATAATTGCCAGTGTAAAGCTTCAACTTTCTGTTTTGCATATGAATGATGTTAGTGCAGACACCATTCAGAAAGTCCTGAGAGTGTGAAACCACAACAAGGATACGCTCAAATTTCTTCAGAGTTTCCTCCAGCCAGACACAAGCTTCTAAATCTGTGGTTGGCAATTTGATGATCATCAACATCATTTCATCAAGATTTGTAAAAAATCAATAGAGAAAAGGCCGCACATTTGCATTTTAACTGTCAATGGGTTGAATGATTTCAAACTGATTTTTGCAAATCTTTCCTCAAAGGTTTAAAGATGATATAAATATTGTTTTGAAAGCATAAAAGGCCACTAAAAGAGTAGCAATTATTTTTATTCAGTGATTATAACCACATCATATTGACAGTAAATAATTTTTACAAGCAAATGTAAAAATATCAAAATCGGGACAAGTAATTAACAAATAGACAATATAATATGTACTATCATGAGCAACCATAGTATCAATAAAACTTACCAAGATGATTTGTGGGTTCATCAAGCAACAGGATGGTTGGGTTCATGAACAGAGCCCGAGCTAAAGCTATTCTCATTCTCCAGCCACCAGAGAAGTCCCTCGTTTTCTTTTCTTGCATATTCTTGTTAAAACCAAGACCATACAAGATCTCAGCCGCACGTTTTTCCGCAGTCGATGCATCTAAGGCTTCCAAACGTTCGTAAATGCCTTCTAGAGTTTCTCCACCACCATCCTCCTAGAGTGAAAAAAAACAAACATGGTACCTTAACCCAAATTTCCTGATCATACCATGCTCTAAGACAGTAATTTTCCGGTCAAGGAGACACACCTGTCCGGCCAAGGCTTCAGCTTCTTTTTCCAATCTCAACCTCTCCTCATCACAGTTTATGACAGCCTCGAGTGAAGACATGTCAGAAGCTTCAATCTCTCTACTTAGGTGATAGATATCCATATGCTCTGGAATAGGAAGCTCCCGACACCCTATTGCAGCAAGAAGAGTAGATTTCCCACAGCCATTCAATCCAAGCAAACCATAACGCCTGAAAAGTTGCATATAATGAATTGAAGATAAATGGATAAACAGCAATTATATACAAGAATGGGTCAAGAAGTAATCACCAACCTCCCGTAGTTTAGTTCCAGTTCAGAATCAACAATAAGATCATGTCCATGAAAAGTGAGTGAGAGAGACTCTATCTGTAACCAAGCGCAAATCAATTTGTCATCAATGGTCAATCGAATATGCAGCTTGCAGGTAGAAAAGAAAACTATGAAAGTTGCATGGAAGAAAGTACATTTATTCAACACCAGATATTTAGTACATACAATGCTTGTGCAAGATAAATCCATTGAGGATTTTAGTATTTGAGCAATTTTTCGAATATTTACTTTATTCATGATGAACATGAATCCTAAGCATACATACGCCTATTCTAGGGCATTCTCCTTAAGAAGGCAATGCAAGTGCACCTTGGTGTTTCAAAAAATGGACAAGGTGGATAACATTTTAGTCACCTCACCTGAATGAGAGCAATAATAGCAAATCAAATTCCTAAACAAGAAACGATAACTCCTTAGAAAAAGAGAGAATAATATCAATTAAGCTTGTAATACCAGAGATATAACTACATTACTATTGCTTATGCAACTAAAGTAGAAGATTAACCTGTGCTGGATAACATCAAGGATCTGCCTTAAGGCTTTTTCTTTCCTTCGTTCTTTTTTGCCTTAGTTTTATATGCACTAACTAAACACATTAAAGATGAGGTTGTTGTGCATATTATTTGCTGATGAATGAGGATACAACACTGATCGATGAGACTAAAGTAAGAGTTAACAAAACAGAATATAGTTTGTAACGGTTATAGAAGTAGGCATTCAAAGTCAGAGGTACAAGAGATTAAAATAAAGAGACATCAAAGAGCGGATATTTTTGATAATTGGGGTCAACTTCTACGAGGTGGACGAGAGAGGATGTTAATCATAAAATTAAAACAACACAATAGAGAAACCCATTTGGATTGATATGATATCAACATGTACCTCCTGCGATAAAAAATGTCAGTTCTATAAAATGTTGGGCAATCATGAAATAACATGCTAAAAAATTAAGTGTTGCAAAAAATGAGAATATTAAGCTGAATAGGTGATAAAACAAGAAAAAACAAAATTAAAAATGAGTTGAATGACAATATTCGTAAACAGTTAAAGTAGCACAACCACAAAATAATTTAAGAAAGAATCAATTTGCGTATATATATTTACAAAAAACATATTACTATACTACTGAAAAAGAAATATGTCATAAGACTCATAACTATCAATAGTAATGCGAGGAGTAAAGAAAGATCAAATTAACTTCAAATGAGTAAGAAAAACATTATAGCTTATTGTTTAAAAAAATACGGCACTTGATAGGAGCATACAAGAGGAATTTGACTCATGCAACTGAACCCAAATAGTTGAACAAAATTTTGTTGCGTTGATACGTACTCTATTTTTCCTTTACAATGTGAAAAAAAGAAGGGGTGGAAGAGATGGAGACAATTAAGATGGGTAGTTAAATATCTGTGAAATACATCAAGTGGAAGGTCAATGGGTGGTTGTGGGAGGAAAACAAAAGGAGACAAAAGTATTGCCCTCTTTTACTATCTATTAGTAGATTATTTACCTCCTAAATAGGTGTTCATACATGGTGGAACTTACAGGCTCGATTTAACCACTAACTGGGAGTTAAATGCAGATGGTCATAGACTCATCATACTAATCCAAATATGTCAAAAACTAAAAGAAAGAGAAAAAGAAATTTGACAAGAAGCTGGCAGACCAAAGATGGAGAAGAGAAAAGCAACACAGAATTCTAACAGATTGAGTTTGTAATCCAAATTTTCCCAATTCTTGATTTGTATCCTTAATCATGAATTGTAATCCTAACTTGTATTTAGATAATTAGATTATTTATTTGGAAGGGCCTTTCCTGGATCAATCTATCTTCGGACATTTTGCCCTCAAATTGAAAACATGTTCTTTTGCTTATCTTTTGCTTTGTTTTGTTTTATTCAAATCTGCAACTATTAATGTTATTATTTACGATTACAATGATTAACCTGCAAGTAATTTCGGTTATAGTTTGCTTTGGAACTCTTATCAAAAATATAAAATAAACATTAATTCACCATGTGTGTGAAGATTTATAGTTAAGAGTGTTTCAAAACTAAGTCCACTCTTATCACACCAGGTACTAAACAAAACCCATGATACATGTAACAATGGGCAAAGCAACACGATAAAAACCATCTAATTTTCTTAGGCATTCATCTAGGTGAAGAAAGCCTTGATTAGAAAGTCTACATCATCTAAAGAACCGTGCATCGTGCACAAGTCCACAAAGAGGAGTGGATAAGTGCAACACCATTTGTCCCACAAAGATTACAACTTCACAAGCAAGCATTGCGCTGAAGGCTGTACAATCCCAATTAGAAGGAGTTATCACCCATTACTCTTACATTCTTTAATAATAGATTCACTTGAAAAGTCAAGTAGACACAAAATATTGACTACTAAGTTGCTACAGGACATTTATCAAAGAATAACGTCACAAAAAAGCGAACATAACAGTAAATCAGTAACCATAGCAGAAAAACACAAAAAAAATAAAATGAATAATTGTGTACAGTCTATCAAACAAGTATCTGAGGTTTTAATTTATCAATTTCTACACTTTCCATATCTTTAGAAGGTTCTTAAACAACTTGGTGTGGTGGAATGTGAAATAAATGGACAAAGTCACATGGTATTCTAGGAGATTTGTCACAAACACAAAAAAAAACACGAAATTCTTCCACCTTCTTGTGGGAAATTTGTATTAATAAAACTTAATGCTTAATCAACTTCAAATGAGCTTTCACTAGTGCAAAAAGATCAACATTAGAATATGATGAAAGCATAGTAAATGAAAGAGACATCATTGATATGATGCCATGCCAAAAAACTAGCTCCAAGTGGAGCTCATGAGTCTCACAGTAGGGGTGAAAGCATAATAAGTATTTGATATGATGCCTAAGCCAAAAAATAAGCTCCAAGTGAAGCTTATGATTCTCAGACATAGACTGATCAAAAACCATCTTGTACACCCCACTGTTACCCGATCATCAATGCCAAAGTTCTTCGCCATAAACCCAAAATACTTCATTTCCGGCCCAGAAATCCACCTTGAAAAACCATGATTTCTACACACAATTCGACCTCCCTCTAAAAATATCACAGTATCAATGACATAAAATGAGTAAGAGAAGCATTAATATTGAATTTCAGAAATGGGTATACTTTAAAGAGAAAAGCAGACACTTCCAAGTGTCACCAGCTCCCCTATCCTGGTGTATTGCATACATAAACATCATACACTACAAACTAAAAAGTAACTAAAGAACATATATCCGATTCTTGCTAACAGTGCAAAACTAGCTAAAAACTTGCTGAGAAAACTAATGCATCTTCCCGTACTCCCCTACTGCCAAAGTGTTCAATTATTTCTGAGAAAATACTTCCCGCCAAGAATAAATCTCATTATTTTTAAGGAAATTTCCACATAAAAACAAAGAGGTCCTAAAAACCGCAAGTCATTACATATAGAATCGAAATTAAATGAAAATTAAACCACCAAATTTCATTTACCATTCAAATACATTATCATCCAATTACTCACCCGGATGTCCCGAGAAAGAGGATGTGAACACAAAACACCGGTACAAGTCCGATCAGAAATATGAAGAGCTTCCACTCCGTTCGCCAAATTATCGGCACTTCCGTTTTGTGCATTAGCTGACGCCTCTGCTACTGTCGCCGCCTTCGACGCCGCCGCAGCCTTCCCTCCTCTCTTCGCAGCTGCCGCTGCCTTCTTCTGCGCCGCCTTCTTCTTGCTCGCGTCCGACACCATCTATTTTCCCAAAAATCAAATTAAAAATCAGAATTCAACAAAAAACAGAAAATAATAATAATAATAATAATCAGAGAGAAATAAAAGGAAAATCGAACATACCTTGAGATCAGGGGTTGTGTGGAGACAGGAATAAGGAGATTGAAAGAGGTCGATAGGATAGAGAAATTGGGAGATCTAGGGTTAAAACTACGGTGTACTTCTCTCCGCCACTACAGATACGTAGAGAGGCGGTCTCGATTGGGGTCCGAGAATGAGAGTTTAGAGGATTCGCTACTTTGGAGTTTCGCGATACTTATAGAGGGTGTGTGGGAGAAGGAAGGTACACGTGTCAAATTTACGTAGTGTGTAGAATATCTGAACGGTGTTGTGACTGTGACTGTGCTTCCGTACTTGTGTACTAATTAATCGGGTCATATGTTCATCCGCCGCCTCCGACCAGGATAACCGGCCCGGGCCATTATGCGGACTCCATAAGCGTCAATCGACTCGAATTTTGTAAATTCGAATCCGAAATTGGTAAAATATTGTTTAAACTTCACTTGTTTAAAAAACAAATTGAGTCTGACTCCGAATAATTCAATTATTTTACTTACAAACAATCTAAGCCTTTTAACCCATCTCAATATGTGGTTAATTTTTGGGGCCCATAATGTATTGGCAAAATCCGTTTCACCCACGTGCTTTTGCATAACAGCGCTAATATCTTTTTATGGTTCAGAAAACATCACATAACCTTTTTTTTTTAAGTTTTGAGTAATGTTAGCCTAACAAAAATAAATTGGGAGTATTGCATTAACACCTTTTGAAATTTACCACTTAATCATTCAAACTTCTTGATATTTAAAATATTATACACAAATTCTCTAAAATTTATATGTGTATAACACTTAAACTCTGCCGTTAATATATTCGTTAGTAAATTACATTTAAATTTCCTAAAATTTATAGTCGTGTAATATTTAGATCTCTCAAGTTTAAAATGTTATATTTATATCAAAAATACTCTAATTAAAAATAGATTATTAAATATTTTAAATTTTACAACTAAAATTCATGTTCTATTATAACATTTATTAAAATAAAATTAAAAAATAAAAATCTAATTTTTTAAAAATAAATTATAATTATTATACAATTATACTATCTATTGGAATTTAATTTGGTCGTTTAAATAATTAAATTAAACTACCAATTACCCTAATTAAAGTTATAATATATTATGTTTATTACAGTTTGATCTCTTATTTGATTTTTTAGTTTTATTCTAGTAGATTTATGATTTTTTAAGAAAAATTATACTTTTATTTTTTATTTTATTTCGATAAATGACATAATAGAACATGAATTTTAGTTGTAAAATTCATATTATATTATGAATGACTTAAACCCTTTGTTTGATTTTTTTAGTTTTTTAAGTTTTTCAATAAATATTATAATTGTATACTAATTAAGATTTTTTAAGCATAAATTGATTTTTTATTTTTTATTTTATTTCAATAAATGATACAATAGAACATGAATTTTGGTTTTAAAATTTAAAATATTTAATATTCTATTTTTAATTTGAGTATTTTTTTGTCTAAATGTAATATTTTAATTTTGAATGATCTAAGTATTATACCCCTGTAAACTTCAGGGGGTCTAGGTATAATTTATTAATTAATATACTAATATACATTATGCACATACAAATATCAATAAATCCAAGTGACTAAGTGACAAATCTCAGAAAGTTTGAATGTAACTCTCCTAAAGTAAAATAGACTAAAATAGAGATTAAATGATCTAACACTATAATAATGAAATTTTTTGTCTCATCTTCAATATTTTCATATTCAATATTTACCTTATCACATCCATTGTCACATCATTTCAACTCTATTTTTAATTTTATCCTATTGTTGGTGTATGATTACTCTTTTGTTTTTCACTAAAGTGCTATAGGTGTGTGCAAATTGACAAAAAATTGGGGGCACAAACTATTTTGAGAGTGGGCGTGTGTTTATAATTTTAATCGAAATCAATCTCTAATGCAAAAGAATAATGGAAAGACAAAAAAAACCTCACCCCATTTTCTTCATCTTCGTATTACAAATCCACTCCATGTCCCTTTGCCACCATAAAGAGTCGACCTGATAGTAAGGCTAGTAAAACTTAGGCTTTTAACACCCACGAAGACCCCAAATTGTAAGTGTATAGTAATAATCCAAATAAAAAAATTTAACCCTATAAGAAATATAAGCTCCATAAAAAGCCATGATTAAGTCTAAATAATTTTTTTTTTTAAATTTTTTGACTGTGGGTACATTTTTTAGATTTATTTGAAATAAAGTATATGAATACATATTTTACTCTATTAAATTTAATTTTAATAAAATATCTTGTGATTAGGTACAAAATTTAAATAATATTTGAATTTTTTTACTTACTTACATTTTTCTTAAATTATGCATAATTCTTATTATTTTACTCTCTCTCTCATAATTCTCACACCGTTAGTCTCTCTCTTTCCCTCTCTCTCCATTATTCTTTCCTTTATTTGCTCTCTCTTTCTCCATTACTCTCTATATCTCTCTCATATTTTTTTCTCTTAATAATTTTTTTTCAAATATGTAAATATTTAATTTGATTTTTCATGTCTCTCCACTATTCTCTCTCTCTCTCTCTCTCTCTCTCTCTCTCTCTCTATCTTATTCTCCCCCTATTTTCTCTCTTTATTACTCTCTTTCCTTATTCTTTCTTCATATCAACGTTATAATAACACAATAATATTAATCAGTTATAATTGTCTTATAATACACTAATCAATTACTCATGTGTTTTGATAAACCAAACAGTTACACTAAATAATTATATAAAATTAGGACATCAACCTAATTTATCATTCAATTATTTACATAATTCAAAGAGTTACATTATTTAATATCACAAAATAGTTAAATCAATTATATAAACTAAATTTGATGTAATAGTAAACTGTTTTGTGTAATGATAAATTCAATTTGGTGTATATAATTAGTGTAATCATATTGTAATACTAAATGATGTAATTTTTTGGTTTATGTAAACAACTAAATGAAAATTTGAGTTGATGTTGTAATTTCGTGTTATTGTTTGGTGTAACTGGTTGATTTATTAAAATACATAAATAATTGTTTGATATATTATAGGATAATTATAACTAATTGATGTAATTGTATTGTTGTAATATTGATATAAGGAGAGAGAGAGAAAGAGCAATTGTAAGGGAAAATAAGGGGAGAGATGGTGGGAGGAAAAGATGAAAATATTAAATAAAATCTTTATTGAAAAGAAAATAAATTATCGAAGTGGAGGAGAGAGAGAGAAAAAAAATGGAATAAATAGAGAGAGTTACAGAAAGAGAGAAAGAGTGAGTAGGGGATAGATAGAGGAGTAACAAAGAGTGACAGAGAGATATATATAGAGAGAAAATATAGAAGATAGAGTGAGAGTGATGGGAGAGGAGGACAAAGAGAGTAATGGAGTGATGAACGGTCTTTTAGTAAGTTTTCAAAAAAATGCACCTTAATGTAATTTAGTTCAATTAAATATAATTTTTGGTACTGACTTCAAAATCTTCCTTTTCTTTTCAAAATTTTTGAACTTTGTGGCCTTGAATTTTATGGGCCGAAGAATGGGCCCAACCTAATCAATTTGAGGAATTCAATTCTCTTATCCAACCCAAACCCATGATCAAACATGCCCTTAGTTAAAAAAGATAGCCTTACTCAATTTAACAAAATCTTATATATTGTTAGTTTAAAAACAGAAAGATTATTTTATTAATTTTAAAAAAATAAAAAATAATGAGCCTTCTGGCCCATGGTTTAGGCATGAGCCAAGAAAATTGTCCAAGTGTTAAGCCTAAGCTGGGGAATGGTCCATCCTTGTGTTGGGGAATAGTATAAAACATGGTTTGACGCTTAGAAAATGAAATCAAGATGACTTCCTCATAAAGATCAAGAACTACATCCGTCGGCCGAATAAGTAAGAGATTTAGACCGCTCTTAGAAACACAAAATAAAAGCAAACTCTTATATTTCGGAACCCAACTCTAATTACTTCTTTATAAATGAGGTGAGGTATTTCTTTTGGTTTAAATAGGGATTGCCTTTTTTTTTTTGTTGAAGTAGCCACAACTTCAATGTGTTTAATTCATGTCAATTTAATTTCAAGTTGCACTACAAATGAATAAGGTGATAATTTATTTCTTTTATTTTTTTGTCGGGTTTATGTTGTGAATTTAAGTTGTTTAGTGGCTATTTGGATAGATATGGTACTTTTTGTCAAATTAAAGAGTAATTTTGAGCTAATAAACAAAAAGTTTATAAAACAAAATTATTTTGTTCTAACAAGGAGATAAAAAAATGTCAATCCCATAGGTATTATTATTGTTGAGGTAATTTTTTTCCACTAATAAAGCGGTTTAATACTATCAGGGGATCTTTATATTATTTTATAAACACAAGGGGTCACCGTGTTATTTTAGTATAACTCGGGGCTTCAGTGTAATTTTCATTCAAAACGATGCGTTTTATCTGGGATGGGGAGGAGTTCAACAACCTCATCCTACAGTTCAAATACACTAATCCAACGGCACCAAATTAACATTTTAACACACACCTCACCATCATTGCTCTGTCAGGCCATGCCGCCCCGCTCTATCTCTTTTTATTATTTCTCTTTTCCTCCTTCACCCTCTCTCTCTCTCACACCAGTGCCACCTACATCGCCAGAGCCACCGACATCGCCGGAGCCACTGCCACCGCTTTCCTATTCTCCCAGGTATACCTCTTATCTTATTCTTCTTTCTTTCTCATACGTAACTGATGGGACTCTTCTGAAAAGCCCTAAGATGATGACACGTGTCCTCGGGATATTTGGAACAGTGTTGCCCGGATGTAAGCACCATCGGCGAAGAGCGTCCTTTACCCCGAGGTACCTCTCATATAGGATCACACATTCGGTATATTATACAACAACACGCGTCCTCGGTCACACGTGTACCTCGGGGACACACCACCCCCTTGGTCCCGAGGTGAGCCTTTCCTCGGCGCCGAGGGTCACTCCATCCTGGACGCTTCCTCTACTCCCGGATAAGGCTACTGACATACTGGACATCAGCCTGTGCCAGTATGGATTAGTCATCATGACCTCTTCTTACACAAGTAATGTCAGAACGTTCTGGAATACCGACGTAACAGCCAATAAGGGATGGACGTGTGGCAAATAATGTCACATCCGAAGCAGACAAACCGCGTGCCGTTACTGACACGCGACTTGGGAAAGCAAACAATTAATTGCACCCTTCTGTTGACGAGACCGCATTCAATGCGGTAAGGTTCGGATATGAAAGGCAATAAATGCTCCTATTTCAGAGCATTTATTGCATC